CCCACTCGGCCCCTCCTTCCTGTCCAGTGCTCTTTCCCCGGGTTCCAGTGGTCTCTGCCTGCCTTTCCCTGGGGCTCCTCTTTATTCATAGAATTAAAAAGATCCTAGAAAGAAGCGTCCCCATCTGGTCTAAGACCATTTTTGACAGAGGAGGAAACTGAGGCCCAGACTTTGGAAGCAACGGCCCTAAGGCTGGAGGTGGGAGAATGGCAGGCCAGGACCCGCGCAAGGCTTCCCGCCCCCTGCGCGCCTGCGGCTCCCCTGCTCCCTTGGGCTCTGCCCTGCAGCTCCCCGCCCGGCCCCCCTATGGCCTCGCCCCCAGCTCCCTCTCACCCACACTCACCCCCCCGGCCCCCGCTGCTTTCCCTCTTCCTGCCTGCCCTCCGTGCTAGGCCCGCGGCCAGGCCCCGACTGACGCCACTGTCTCTTCCCACAGTGCCCGAGGCGCCCGTCATCGACACGCAGCGCACCTTCGCCTACGACCAGATATTCCTGTGCTGGCGCCTGCCGCCCCACTCGCCACCTGCCTGGCACTACACCGTGGAGTTCCGGCGCACCGACGCGCCCGCCCAGCCGGGCCCCGCACGCTGGCAGCGGCGAGAGGAGGTGAGGGGCACCAGCGCCCTGCTGGAGAACCCTGACACCGGCTCTGTGTACGTGCTGCGCGTCCGGGGCTGCAACAAGGCCGGCTACGGCGAGTACAGCGAAGACGTGCACCTGCACACGCCCCCGGCACCCGGTGAGCGGGCGGGCGGGCACGGGGCAGGCAGGGACACCCCCCCAAACCACCCCCCCACCCGGTGAGCGGGCGGGCAGGCGGGCGCGCCGGGATATCCCCCACCCCGGGCACCCGGGGAGCAGGCGGGCGGGCACGGGGCAGGCAGGGACCAGGGCACCGGCTCACTGCGCTAACAGCCGGGGCTGCGGGGGCCCTGCGGAGGAACACAGTGGGCCGCACTCACCAGCCCCGGAGCTAGACACTTAGGATCAAATCCCCACTCTGCTTCAGCCGTGGCTCTGGGCAAGTCGTTTGCCCTCTCTGAGCCCCAAGTCCCTCTTCGGTAGCGGTAATAACAATGTCATTGCAGTGAGAGTGAAGCCAGTGAGTTCCCAGCTCATAGTAAGGACTCGGTCAGGATCAGGATGGGGACTCTCCAGAAAGTAGTCTGGCCTCAGGGACACAGGCAGAATATTGGAGCGTCACTGCCCAAGGGGGGTGTGCCGGCGTGCGAGCGCCAGGGTGTGCACTGGAAGGTGTAGGTCAGTGGTGGGGGACGTCACCAGTTGGGACAGGGCCCCAGCGAGGACTCTCTGGGGGACCAGCCATCAGAGAGGGGTGGGAGGAATCGCAGCAGGTCAGCTGGTCTGGGCCCACTAATCCCCGCTAAAACTCTCCCTGGGGTCCCGTGCCCGTTTGGGGAGTCCCGTGCCCGTTTGGGGAGTCCCCTTTTCTCCTCATGCCCCCACTGCAGTTCTCCAGGCCCTGGTCCCTGGAGCCCCCCCCCCCAATCCCTCGCAGCTTATTTCACATTCTTGAATCTGCCAGCGTCCTTGGCTGACACCTCATGGCCTCCACGGCCTGGGTTTGTCCCTCAAGTCCTTCCTCTGTCCCTTACCCCACGGCAGTCCTGCACTTCTTCCTCGATGGCCGCTGGGGCACGAGCCGAGAGCGGCTGGCCATCAGCAAGGACCAGAGGGCGGTGCGGAGCGTCCCAGGGCTGCCCCTGCTGTTGGCTGCTGAACGGCTCCTCACCGGCTGCCACCTGAGCGTGGACGTGGTGCTGGGAGACGTGGCCGTGACCCAGGGCCGCAGCTACTGGGCCTGTGCTGTCGACCCAGCCTCCTACTTGGTCAAGGTGGGCGTCGGGCTGGAGAGCAAGCTGCAGGAAAGCTTCCAGGGTGCCCCAGATGTGATCAGCCCCAGGTCAGGCTTCTCTGGAGGGGGTGGGGCATGGGGGTGGGGGAGCTGGGGACTGGATGGGGGTGGCAGGGGGAGCTCACGCTGGTTGGGGTGGAGCAGGGGAGTTCTGGAGCATGGAAGCCAGGCAGGAGCCTATGGCCAGGGCAACCTTGGGCTTAGCCCAAGGGCTTGAAGAACTGGTTTTCAGAGGAGCAAGCGGCTGGGGAGGGGGTTGCGGGGGGGGCATCCACCTGCTCCCACCTGTCCTCAGGACAACCACACCACCTCTCCGAGAGCCTCTGCATCTCCCAACCCCTCGCTTCCAGGGCGCTTTCCCTGCATCACCACATCTGGCCTCAACATCCTGAGACCCTTCCCTCTCAGTGTCCACTTTCATCCCCTCCATTGCCCATGTGCTGTCCAACAGCCCCAACATGCGTGCCTCCCTGGACCTTCCCTCCCGGCATTCTATCCCTGAACACCCCATTTTTTAGTGCTCTCCCGCCAACACCAGTGCCCCCACCCCAACAGTCTCGAACCCTTCCCAAGACCCTCCCCAGCACCATGTCCCCACGTAGGTCTCCTCCCCACCTTGTCTCCTGTTTCCTCCTAGCGCTCCAGCTCACCTCCGTCCCTCCTTCTCCCCTGCCTCTCCTGCCAATGTGCCTGCTCTCAACACCCTTCTCCCACGGCTCTCAGAGCCCGGATACTCTAACCCTCGGGTTGGCGACACGTCCTCTCCGTACCCCAAATGGACCCTTGCAAACGCTTGCTCCCCAACATCCCTTGCTCCCAACATCTCAGCCTTCTGCCCCTGACCCCCGCTGAGCCCCACTCCCATGCCCCTTCCCCAACACCCCCCCAACTCCGTCCCTGCAGGTACGATCCGGACAGCGGGCACGACAGCGGCGCTGAGGATGCCACAGTGGAGGCGTCCCCGCCCTTCGCCTTCCTGACCATCGGCATGGGCAAGATCCTTCTGGGGTCCGGGGCCAGCTCCAACGCGGGGCTGACAGGCCGGGACGGCCCCGCGGCGAGCTGCACCGTGCCGCTGCCGCCCCGCCTGGGCATCTGCCTGGACTATGAGCGGGGCCGCGTGTCCTTCCTGGACGCCGTGTCCTTCCGCGGGCTCCTGGAGTGCCCCCTGGACTGCTCGGGGCCCGTGTGCCCTGCCTTCTGCTTCATCGGGGGCGGGGCGGTGCAGCTCCAGGAGCCTGTGGGCACTAAGCCTGAGAGGAAGGTCACCATCGGGGGCTTTGCCAAGCTGGACTGACCCTTTCTGGCCCTGCACCCTCCAGGCCTGCTGGAGTGGGTTAGTCTTTCGACGGCTCCTCCCTAGACTCTTCCTGCCATGTCGTCCTGTCCCTTCCCCTATGTCTTTGTATTCCTGGGCCTTCTCTTGACCGAGGGACTCTCCTCTGCTCACCTTTCTAGACGTCCCCCATTCTCTTCATTGCCTGTTAAGCCAGGCCCCAGCCCCCATCAAGTCTCGCCCATGTCCTGCCTTTGGCATCCCACCCGAGTCACGGAGAGAGCCCCTTCCCCATCGCTGTCCCATGCCCCCCCTCAGGCTGATTGGGAGGGAAGGCACCTGGAACACAGGGCATGACCCCCAGCTCTGCGCTCTGCTCTCCGCCCTGCCAAGCTCCCCGCCCCACCGATGCGGAACCACAGTCAGGGCGGGCTTTTTGGCCGGACACTGCCCAGGCCCTCCCTGGTGAGGAGAAGAGGGCCCTGCCATCCTGCTTGAGTTGTTGGGGTCCCCACAGCCCTTGGCTGCATGCCTGTATCTCTCCTCCTTCCTTCTGCATGCTTCACCCTGTCCTGTGCCCCCATGCCAACGTGCCAAGTCTCCCCGGGGGCCCCAGCGGAGGGCAGGTGTCCCCGATGGGTTGGGCGAGGCAAGGCCTCTGGGGCCCCGCTGCTGTCCCCTGCAGTGGGCACTGCCAGGCCTGAGCCGAGCAACAGCTGGTATTTTCATGGTTTCTAAACAATAAACTAGGTTTCCAGGCACATCTGTGCCTTCCCTGAACCCGACCGTCCCTTTGCATTTCTGCCCCAGGCGCGACAGGTGTGAAGGATCCTGGGGCCCCGCTGCTCAGAGCAGGGGAAGGAGATCCCAAGCAGGTGCCCAGAGCCTCTGGCTCAAGTCCCAGCCAACCAACAGGGGGCCTACTGGGGGTGCACCACGCCAGTGGCTGCTGGCCGCGCCCAGGGCCCAAGCCCCCAGGGCATGTGGTAAGCGGGGCGGGCACTGTGCCTGGGCCCAAAAGGGTCAGGGAACCAGAACCACTTCCCCATTCCCAGGGTGCCTAGACAAGACCCCGCCAGCCAGAGAGGGGGCCGGGCCAGGTGCCAGCGTCCGGATCTTGACACTGTGCTTATCACGGCAGTGTTGACTCTGACTGTTATCACTGCCCACACTTACTTCACACCCTGGCAGCTAAGAATAGAGCCGCTGGGGGCACTGGGCCAAGGGGAGGTGAGGGCGTGGTCGCCCCTAGCCCCGAGAGTGGGAGCCCTCCCTCCGGGGCAGGTGGAGCTGGGTCACACTGGCCTCCGGTCACGGGTCACACAGGCCTCCAAACCAACTCAGTTTCGCTTCCTCCTTCCTCTTGTGCCACCAGGGACAGGAAGAAGTGACCTGTGCCCCAATGTCATCTCTCCACGTCTCCTGCTTTCCAAACAAACCCTACTCTTGCCTTTCCCTCCATCTCCCGCAAAGACCCCTTTGAAGCCCCATACACACATATTTGCTCTCCCCGTCCCAGTCTAGGGGTCACAGTGACAGATCTGAAGGTGGCAGTCAGCACAGAAGAGGTTCCCCTTTTATTCAGCCCCAGTCCAGTTCACATTTCCATCCCGGGGCTTTCTGGGCCGGTCCTCCTGGGAGCCCCTGCGCCAGGCCTGTCCCCAAGGGGCTCGCATGGGCTTCAGCGGGGCTGACATGGGTTAGGGGACCTGGTGGGGCCTGTGAGCAGCCCGCCTGAACTCCCAGCTCACCAGCGAGGCACAGACCTGAGCGGAGAGGACTCTGGCAGTGAGGGGCCTGGGGGAGGCACGTGGCACGGGCATCTGGACCTTCGGGGGCAACGCGCTCCTACAGGTTGCCGGAAGTGGCTGATGTGCTCGGGTTCACATACGAGAAGCCACTGCCCCCGTTGCCTGCAGAGACCTAGGTGGGGAGACCAGACCCAGATCAGACCGCAGCCTGGGGTAATAAGTCGGGGAGTCTAACTCTCAAAGAGTTAATTCAGAGAGCACTTGCTGGGCACCACACCACACCTCGGCAGCCAGGTGACTGTAAACAGGGCCCAGGGCCGCAGCTCCCCCCCTGCTCCCCTTTCCTCCTCCTCTTGGCTCTCATCAGCCTCCTTATCCCCGCCCCCCCCCTTTCTCCTTCCTCCAGCCCGAGCAGGAGTGTGCCTGTCTCTACAGAGCTGGGAGCAGGAAGTCCCTGGGCGAAGGAAAACGGGGTCAAGAAAAGGAAACTCCCCTCCCCCACCAGAGTGGCGCTCCAGCCCCAGGTGGCCCAAGTAATTATTTACTAGGTCCTGGAGAGAAAGGCCAGGTGAGGAAAGGAGGAGGCTCCTTGCTTCCCTGAGACTCCCAAAAAGCCCCTGGCACCAAGCTCACCGGGCAGGGTGAGGCTTCCTCCCCATGAGACAACCCCCCCCTTCCTGCAGGCCTTTCTAAATCGACCCTCCCTCGGGAGTCCTGCATGAAGGGCCCCCCTGTGCCCAGCGCCCCACCTGCCGCACCCCCGGCCCAGCCAGCAGCTGCAGTGCGGTTCTGGAAATGCTGGTGGTGGGGACACTCTCTTGAGATCCCCTTCCTCCCAAGGTCCCTCCCCCAGGCCTCCCCCACCCCAGCCCCTCTGACCCCACCCCATTGTCCTCCCCAGCCTCTCACCTCTTCTCCCCCTTCTCCACTCCCAGTCCCAGCCTCGGGCTCCCCATGGGGTGGGGCCCCTCCTCACCTCCTCATAGGGGCTGGGTCTGCTGCCTGGAGGCACGTAGCGCCCATGGGTGTGGTAGGTGGGGTACTCGCTCATAGGGTGATAGGCGTCGCGGGCTGGAAAGATGTCCAGCTGCCCACAGTTCTTTCGGCAGCACTGACACACCGTCTGAGAAAACAAGAGGTAATAGAGGGAGCCACGGGGTTGTCTCCAGCAAGGGGCCTCTGCACAGGCCTGGAGACCCAACACTTACCAGAGCAATGACACAGATGATGGCGAGTGCCACCAGGACACAGACCAGCACCAGCAGAGCAATGCCCCAGCCAGGTACCCCAGACCCGGACTGGCCGGAGGAAAGGAGCGACACATCTTGTGCTAAACGGAAACACAGTGGTCAGAATACTCTCCCGAAGGAGGGTGCCCCCTCCCAGCACCCCGGGGGAGAGCAGGAACCCAGGTGCTGGAGGGAAGGGCCCTGCAGGCATGGGTGCTGGGCGGCAGCTGGGGACAGTGGCCTCACCCCTGACATTCGAGATGGACAGGTGATATGCGGCAAATTCTTTTTTGTTCTCTTCCAACTGTGTCTGCACGCTGCGGGCATCAGTGGCGCCCTTTCGGAAGGCCAGGTTCGATTCGACCACCACCGATCCTGCTCTGGTGGGAAACTGGTGACTCAGCCGCAGGTCCCAGCTTCCGGCCGGCCTCCCCCAACGGCACCAGTCCTCCCCACGGCCTCCCTCCACACGCTCCACACCCAGAACAGTACCTGAATTTGATATTAGAGAGGCCCAGAAAACCTTCCTTTTTATAAATCTGCCAAAACTGTGGTGAGAAGAGAAAGAATTAGGCTTGAGGCAAATAGGTCGGGCAGCCTGGAGGCTGCTGCCCGGAAGAGCACGGAGCCTAGGAAAGAAAGGGCACCCACTCACCAACTCAGAAATGTTCCTCTGCAGCTCCTGGTAGTAGCTGGAACTGGGATCTTCCAGAGAAGAGTTAAACTGACGGTTCTCAATGGAAAAGGACAGCAAGAAGAAGGAGATCCTGAGAGATTGGGGAGAAGTGCTGCGATTGGAGGACGTGGGAGGTTCCGAGCCACGGTGAGTGGTGCTGGCAGCGGTGCTGGCGCTGTGGCCAGGCGGGACGTGGGTTGGGGATGTGCCACCGTGGTGTCCGGGGGTGGTGGTCAAGGACGAGCTGCTGTGGTGTCGGCGGGCGGTGGTCGAGCTCGAGGCTAAGCTGGGGGTCGAGGTCGGGCCCCCATGGTGTCTGGGGGTGGTGGTCGAGCTCGAGGCTGAGCTGGGGGTCGAGGTCGGGCCCCCATGGTGTCTGGGGGTGGTGGTCGAGGATGAGCTGCTGTGGTGTCCGGGGGCGGTGGTCGAGCTCGAGGCTGAGCTGGGGGTCAAGGTCGGGCCCCCATCGTGTCTGGGGGTGGTGGTCGAGGACGAGCTGCTGTGTTGTCCGCGGGCGGTGGTCGAGCTCGAGGCTGAGCTGGGGGTCCAGGATGAGGTATCAGTAGACTGTGCAGTGCCAGCTGTAAGAAGTCGAGGTCACAGGGTTGGGTAGGTGAGAAACCAGAATGAAGAGAAAATCCACCGTCTGGCTTCTTGAGCAGTAATGGGCAGGAAGATCTGGACAGTGGGCCAAAGCCTGCGTAGGCCGTCCTCCTCCTTCCTGGCTGACGGCCTCCTGGTCTCTTCCCACAGCTGTCTGCTCCTAGCTGTCCATCTCTCCGCTCCTGAAACCTAACCTCTCCCGCCCCAACCCCGGTCCCCGAAGGCTTTGCTGCAGGTCACTGTGCTGCCCGGGACACCAGCTTTCCCGAGGGGCTGCCTCCCCTAATGTCCTCAGCCTCTCTCCTCTCTTCTGGCACAGACGATGCACCCCTGGCTGCAATGTCTGGCTGCAATCTGCCCCTTGGGGTACCGTCTGCTAGCAAAGGAAACCCACAGGGAGGCTGGGAAGAGCCCATGAGCAAGGTAGCCCCCTCCCCACCTTGTGCCCCTCACCTGGAAGCTGCAGGGATGCCAGGAGCAGGAGGAGGAGAGGGGCCTGGAAGCCCGGTGTCATGGTGGAGGCCAGCAGGGTGGGGAGGGGGCGGAACAGTCCCGGGAAGGAGCCGGGCCGGAGGTGGGGCAGTCGCAGGCGCCCGCTGCTTTATACCGGTCCCTGGCCCGCCCCAGGCTCAGCCAAAGCAGGTGACAGGTGACAAAACCCCGCCCCCTCCCCCTTTCCCTACCTCCAACTTCTTCCTTCTCCTCCCCACCCGATCGTGACCCCTCAGGTGGGGTACCTGAGCTCCAATCACTCAACCCTCTGGCCATCTGTTTGCTCTCCAAACGGTCTCCTCCTTTCCCCGACCAGTCTCTGGCTCCAGAAGGCCCTGGGTCTCCCGGGCTCTAGTTTTAGCCTCAGGGCGACAACCAAGGTGAGAAAAGGGACAGAAGAAGGGGCCAGATCGGGGTCCCGGGCAGCAGACCAAGGAAGCGCCCCCTCACGTCCCTCGTCCCGCTCCCCATTTTCACTGCGCCCCTTTAAGCCCCGCCGTGCGGAGTGGGGAGGAGCGGGAAGCCTTGAGAAAGGGTGGACCGGGTGCCCCTTTCGGACCACCTCCCCCCCGCCGCTTCCCGGAATCGCCGCTCCTCGCGCGGCCCCAGCCGCTCCCTGTCCCGTTCCGCACGCAGAGCACCGAAACCAACGGTCCCCTCCGCTGCCGGACTTTCCAGCGGCCCGCGTTCCCGCCCGGGCTTGTCCCAAGGAGGGGGTAGGGGAAGAAAGTTCCACTTCACGCGCCGCGGGACCCCGGGGTCTTTCCTGCTCCTCCGCCGGCCCCGGGCCGGGCTCTCCCGCCCCCTGGCGGCCCCCGGGAGCCGGGCGGCCGCGCGCGAACACTGGGGGCGCCCGGGTCGCGGGGGGAGCCGAGCGCCCCAGTGCGGCCGGAGGGGCGGGGCCGGGGTCTTGCGGGCCGCGGAGCCCCGGTGCGCAGCTCAGGGGCTCGGACGCAGAGCGCAGGGAAGCGCCGCTCGGTCGGCGGAGGAGCTGGCCACGCTGGGGGGACCCCGGGGCGCGTGCGGGCGGGGGCGGGAGGTACGTGCCAGGGGCGCGGAGGTATGTGGGAGAGGACGGCGGAATGTGGGAGGGGCTGTGGGCCGGGGCAATGACGCACTTGGGCAGCAGCGACTAGGTGGGGCGACGGAATAGGATTTGGGGGCCCCGAGCTGTCATGGGGAGCAGAGGGCAGCTGGGGTTGGGTAGGCACATGGTGGCGACCAGGGGACTGTATGTGAGGGGGCGTGCTGGGGGGGGAAGTACGAAGGGCAGACACGTTTGCGGCACAGCGCACGTGGGGCCTGGGGGTCCGGCCCCTCTGGAGGCCCTTTCCCCCCACTTGCGTCCGCCTTGGGAACGGTTCTCGGTCGCGGCGAGTGCAGACAGGACAAGGGGCGTTCAGGACGCCTCGGAGCCGCGGGGCTGGAGGGCGGCCGGGCGGAGGCGAGGGGGGCGCGGCTTCGAGCGGGGCGCGCGGGTCCGAGGGGCGCCGAAGCCCCCCACCCGCCCGCGGGAGAAAGCGCGAGCATCGAAGTGGGCGGCCCCAAAACTTCGGCCCCGGCGTTGCCAGGCAACAGCCATTCAGTCGCGTTGCTGGGACACGCGTCACCATGGCGACGGCTCCGCGCCGCGCGCTCCGAGTATTTAAAGAGCCCGCGCGCGCCGCGGCTGGGTGTCGGAAAGCGGCTTTCCCGGCCCGCGCGGCCTCCCCTCCGGCCACCACCCTCCCCACCGCCCCCTCCCCCCTCGCCCAGGCGCCAAGTCTCTGGCCTCCAGCTGGACCCAGCTCCCTGGCGCGACCCCGGTTCTGGGGCTGGCCCGGCAGCAGGCGATGCGGAGCGGGATCCCGGGCCCCGGGCGGGCGGGAGGGACGGGACGCGGTGCAGTGTTGTTCTTTCCCCCGCCAATATTGCACTCGTCCCGGCCTCCGGCCCCCTCGGCCCCCCGGCCTCCCTCTCGCCCCGAGCGGGCCAGCTCCAGCCCTCCTGGCTGTCGATCCGGACGACCTAAGATGGACTGGAGTGTCGCCGCCGCCGCCGCCGTGAGTGAGTAAGTGGGTCTGGGAAGACTTAGCCATTTTCCGGGCCGGCCCCTCATCCTTCACCTGCCCCAATCCAGCGCCTTCCTCCTCCACCCGCCCGCGCGCAGCCAAACTTCTGTAGAGCTCCAGCTTTCATCCTACCAGCCCCCTTTCTCACCCGCTCGGTTCCTTCCTGCTCCCCACACTGCTGTGGAAAACCCCTAAAAGAAACAACAAGCACTAGCTTAGAAAACCACCGGACCTTTATGGCAACGTGCTGTTCTCTTTCCTGGGGTTAGTGCCTGAGAAGAAGAGCCCTTGAAAATGTCCCAACTCCTGAACCGTGGGGTCACCACCTTTCTGGGGCGGAACTCCTGTGGGTGCTGGAGGAGGGTCTGTGTTTGCTTGAGTGGCTGTAAGTTAGACCCCAGGGTCTCCAGGATGGACCCCAAGGCCAGAGGGTCTAAAATCAGGATTCGGAATCCCGCGGGGGCCGCCTCTTCACACCCTTCCCTGGAGCAGCTGCCTCCGGAACGGCTCAAAGTCCTCGGGCACCGTGTCTGAGGTGGAGAAATGACTGAGGTCAGAAGATAGGACCCTCCCACCGGGGCACATGGAAGGTCAGGCCGATGGGGTCTGGAGCCTCACCATTGCATCGATACTGGAGATTGGACCAAATGATGTTTTCTTGAGAGAAGCAGAATACGCCCAGACGGCCTCCCCGCATGGCTGTGTCAATGACCACCCCAGAGTCCGCCACCAGCTGAGGACCCTCATAGAGCTTCACCCTGCCCAGGACAGGGGTGTCCGTGGGTGCTAGGAGGCCAGTGGGCACTGGGCCATCAAGCCCAGGCCCCTACTCATCCCCAACCCCCCTGAAGCTCACTGGGCCAGAGAGAGAACGGAAGGAGGGAGAGGGAGGAAGGGAAGGGAAGGGGAGGGACAGGGTGCTTTCTCAGGCCTGGGGCCCCTGCCTCTTTGTCAGCCCCCTTTGCATCTCAAAGCACCAGCCGCATTCCAGGCGAGGATTGGGTTGCCATGACAATGAGCACAATGGGCTGGGGGGTGAAGTCACCCGCTTCCCAGGCTCTAGTCCCCCCTCCCTCACCCCCTGCCCTGGCACCCTGCAGCCCCAGGCACCTTAAAGGGAAACCAGCCCAAGTCCCTGGACCCCGGGCTCTTGCCATTTCCCCTCCCTTCCGTCATCCCTGCTGACTAGGAAGCGCGCAGGGGTGACCACAGCGCCCGACTGAGAAGTCCTAGCCCTACTGCTCAGAGGTGTGCAGTCTGGGCCTCGGTTTACTCTTGGGCAAATGATGACCCCTTCAGGGTCAGACATGGTGATGGGGTGGCTTCTGGGATGTACCACGGAAGGGGCCAGAGGGGAGGGCCTCTCCATGGCCTGTCCTGTGGTTTGCAGGCTCCCAAACACGCCCTCACCTTACAGAAGGGAAATCGGCCCTACACCGCCTGTGGGTCCTGGGGAGCACGAGCCCTAGGGCCCAGAGCAGGGCTGAGGCGGGACATCCGTGGTGGAGGGCAGAGAGGGAAGCGGCCCCAGTCCCAGTCCAGGGCCCAGGGCACTGAGGAGCAGAGTGCAGGGGCAGCCCGTGGGGAGTCCCAGCTGAAGGCCAAGCCAGGCCAAAGCAAGCCAGACCGGGCCTGGGGTCCATCCCCCCCACCCCACCCCCCGCAGGGCTCAGCCCCTCCCCTCACCGGATGTAGCCCACTTGAGGCCTGTGCAATAGCTGCCAGCGGTAGGAAGTCTTGTCCCGCCAGCCCACGTTTCGGGGGTCAGTCCACAGCAGCCGGACCTGATCGGGGGTGTGGCCAGTATGCCACAGGGCATTCCGGAGGTGCTCACCCGGGCCTGATACAGACGTCACCGCCTGGAGAGTATTGGCAAAGACAGAGGGTCAACCATGGGACCCAATCAGCAGGCTGGTAAGCACAGATGGAAAAGGAAGTCAAGGGGGGCAGGAGCACGTTCTGGAGTCCCCTGGAAGCCAGCCTCCAGGCCAGATGTCTGAGAAAGAGGGTTCCCACTCAGGCAGTGGGGGAAGCTCGGGGAGGCTTGGGGTGAGGGCCCTGGGCTGGGGGCTCTGGACGGCTGCCCACCTTGAGCTGCAGCCCTGGCTGCGCGACAGCCCGGAAGGGTGTGGCCTGCCAGTAGGTCTGCTCCGTCTGCTTCCACATGACCACGTAGAAGCGGCCGCTGTCCTGATAGCTGAAGAGGAAGCCTGCGTAGTCGTCATCAGTCACTGTGTTCACGTGAAAGGTGCCTTCAAAGTCCACACCGTTGAAGGCCGTGTAGCCTGGGGGTGGGTGGGATCTGAGTCAGGGGTGGCCAAGCCACTAGTGGCCCACGGGGCAGTCGGGGTGGGAAGCAATGCCTGTGAGATGTGTGCTCAGCTTGGCCCCTGCCCCCTGCCCCTGTAGGGTTCCTCCAGGTGGAAGTGTTGGAACCGGGTGCCCCGTACATACCCACCGCCAAGCCAGGGTCACTGTTCATGGTCTGAACGATTTCCATGCCCTGGGGGAGTGCAGGAAAGAAGAAAACCCTGTTCCGGGGACACAGCCCCACCAGGGCCCCACCTGGTGGCCTGGCCTGACAGCCCCTGCCCAGCCCATGGCTGCAGTACCTGGTTGAGCACGACCCAGTTTGGGTCAATCTGAGCATCTCCCTCAGGGTCCAAGACGACAGTCTGATAGGCCCGGAAATCCGTTAAGGTCACCTCTGCACTCTCAGGGCACACATCCAGGGGGTCGGCCACTGCGTCATTGTCGAAGTCCTCCTCACACACATCGCCAACGCCATTGCCTGGGCAGAGCGAGGCCAAGGGCTCAGGAAGGCCTGGCAGTGGGCTCTGGACACCACCACACCGCCCATCGGGCCTTGCCTTCCTGGCTTAGCCCCAGTGGCACCTGCCACCCCACCAGTGCAGGCCTCTGTGGGACCCCGGCCTTACCATCTGAGTCCTTTTGATTGGGGTTGGGTACAAGGCGACAGTTGTCAGGACCTGGAGGCACGTAGTCTGGGACCCCGTCATTGTCGTCGTCCCCATCACACTCGTCTCCGAGTCCATCGTTGTCTGAGTCTAGCTGGGAGCTGTTTGGCAGTTCTGGGCAGTTGTCCTTGGTGTCCTGATGTCCATCCCCATCGCTGCCCAGAACAGGCACCAAATAAAGGCTCTAAAAGTACCACGTCCATCCCCCATCTTCTCAGAAGTCAGGGGTGTGCCCCACAGCCAGCCAGGTGAGGAGAATGTCCGTCCAGCAGCAGGAGTGGAGGCTAGACTTGGGGGAGGGGCTTCCTGCTCAACAGGAGTGGAGAATCAAGGCTAAACCATGCAGGAAACAACGTACCACAAGAAAGTAAAGGAACCCGGGGAGGACCGTCTGTGTCTTGGCCTGCCCTACCTGTCCTCGTTGGTGTCACAGACGTCCCCCACCAGGTCACTGTCGGCATCTGTCTGAGAGAGAGAGATGCCTGTTGTCTCCACCTCCTGATAACTCCGCAGACGGGGCCGGACCACTTCCCACGGGAAGGGCCATGGCCTCACCCCAGGGCCCTCCCCTCCCCAGCCCCAGTACCTGGGTAGGATTGCTCATTTCAGGGCAGCTGTCACAGGCATCTCCCA